AAACAAGGTAAACAGAATAAGAAGCAAAAGGTGGGTGTGGCTGCGTGACCACACTTCTGGTAACATGGGGGGGCGTCCTAATGTGCTAATGAGCTGTGCTGGCAGGGGTGTGGCCTAATATGCTAATGAGTTTCTGGTGTTGTGTGTGGCCTATTATGCTAATGAGTTCCTGCTGGGCTTTTTCTACAAAAAGAGCCCTGGTTGTTAGCCAGCCCTGGCCATGGAGGGCCCATGCTAGGCCAATCTCAGAAGCGAAGTAAGATCGGCCTTGGTTAGGACTTGGATGGGGAGACTGTCATGACCTCCTCTAACCCGCTCAGTGACCCGGACTCAGAATTCCTAGGGGAGGAGCCAAAATCAGTGACTACGGGGGACCAGAGGGACCAAGAAGGGCCCGGTACTTCCTCAGCACCGGAGGTAAGGGAAACCTCACCATCAGCCCAAGATAGTCACCACCAGGCCTCTGCTGGGCAGGACTCGAGCCCTCCAAACCCCCCTCCCAGCCCCCCAGGACCCTCTCCCAGTCTGCAGGACTGCCAGAGACAGAAGGCACAGGTTCACCGCACCCCATATTGACTGGCAGTGCCTCTCCAAGGCCTCAGAAGGGGGGAGGTCTCCCCAAACAACTGCTAGCTGGAGAAGTTTAGGGACTGAATCTGGGATTCTCTCCCTGCATGCAATCTACCTCTAAGCTATAGCCACTTCTTATAGTTCATGAAGCCTCCTTAGATCGCTATTTTCTTTTCTACAATTATGGACCAAAGAAAACAGGCTGGTTTCTTTTATATATTCATAGTATCAAACAGAGAGCCAGTGTGGTGTAGTGGTTAGAGCAACAGGTTACTGTCCGGGAGATCCAGGTTCGAACCTCCCACTCGGCCACAGAAGCTCAGTGGGGGACCTTGGGCCACTTAAGGACTCTCAGCCTACCCTACTTCACAGGGTTGTTGTGAGGATAAAATGGAGGAGAGAAGAATGCAAGCCGCTTAGGGTCCCCTCTGGTGATTCCTTGAAGGATCTGGACTGGTGTGCAGCATTGCCTCCAGCACCTGTCAGCAATGCTCAATTGCCTCCCAACCAGTGTTCCCTCTAAGCTGAGTTAGTATGAGCTAGCTCACAGTTTCCTAGCCTCCGGCTCACGCATTTTTGTCTTCGCTCCGGAAGGAGGGCTCCAGAGCAGACAGATTTATACAGTAGCCAGATCGCTCGCTCACAACTTTAATGCCAGTAGCTCACAAAGTAGAATTTCTGCTCACAAGACTTCCACAGCTTGGAGGGAGCATTGCTTCCAACCGATTTAAGCCAGGGAACTGGGAAGACAGCCTTGCTGGATCGACCAGTTTAGAAAGCTGAAACTCTTGCCTGCTAGATGAAGCTTCTAGACCCTGCCTGCTCTAGACAAAGCCTGCTCTACGCTCCAGTCCCTGCAGGGTAAGCCTCAACTCTTGAGGAGACCAGCGGAAGCCCAAGGCCAGAACAGAGACCACCAACGAAGTCCAGGGTTGCTACGCAGAAGCAGGAAATGGCAAACCACCTCTGTGGCATCTCTTGCCTTGTAAACCCTACGGGGCCACCATAAGTTGGCTGTGACTTGACAGGACTTTCCACTGCCAACATTAGCCAACTGGCTTATGCAGGAAATTCTAGTCAACGGTGCTTCTGTTCTGCTGGTACCTTAAAAGAATACATTTACTTACTTTCTCTCTTCCCGGGATAAAGAAACACTCAGCAGCTGATGAAGGCCGTTCCAAAAGTTTTGCATAATACTCCCGAGCTGCCGCTTCTAGGACTTCAGGCTCTTCTTTAATATCCACTGGATAAAGATGACCTAGAAGAAAGAAGACGACTAAATACTATTCAATTCCATATCGCCGCAGCAGTAAGGCATCATCCTCGCCTTGTGCAAAAACAGCAGCAAACCAATTCAAAAGTCCATCTCGGCACCCAACCTGTGATCACTGCAAACAGAAAAAAAAGGTAAAGGTTCCCTTGCTCGAAAGCCAGTCGAGTCCGACTCTAGGGTTGCGGTGCTCATCTCCGTTTCAAAGCTGAAGAGCCAGCGCTGTCCGAAGACGTTTCCGTGGTCATGTGGCCAGCATGACTAAACACCAAGGCGCACGGAATGCTGTTACCTTCCCACAAACAGAAAGCGTTATGTTAGCTCCTCTTATCATTCTGTACACAAATGGAACGCCAAACCACTGAAATAATTGATGCCCAAACAGGAACTAAACTTTAAAAGACAAATGAGCAGACTGTGTTTTCCCGGTTTTTAAAATGTTTCTTGATTTCTACCTAAGCAATTAACTAAGAATTTGCCATTCTTAAAGTATAATAGCAAACCTCACCGCCCTTCTTTCAAATATACTTCAATCAGGGCTTTTTGGGTAGAAAAAGCCCAGCAGAAACTCATTAGCATATTAGGCCACACACCCCATGCCTTCCCTTGAAGGGAAGGCAGTTTAAACTGCCTTCCCTTGGCTTGCCCGGGTGCTCCGTGGCTACATGAAGCCTGGGCAAGCTGGCCCTTGGACAGGCCGGGGAAGAGAAGAAGAAGAGATTGGATTTATACCCCGCCCTTCCCTACCCAAAGGTGTCTCAGAGTGGCTTACAAACTCCTTTCCCTCCCCCTCCCCACAACAGACACCCTGTGAGGTGGGTGGGGCTGAGAGAGCTCTTGACAGAAACTGCTCTTTTTCAAGGACAGCTGTGCCAGAGCTTGTGACTGACCCAAGGTCACATCATCAGGTGCAAGTGGAGGAGTGGGGAATCAAACCCGGTTCTCCCAGATTAGAGTCCGCACATTTAACCACTACACCAAACTGGCAAGAGGGGAAGGCACGGGGAGGAATTTAAATGGGGGGGTCGCTTTCCAGGCCTTCCCCCTGCAGCCACACATGCAGAGGTTTTGCCTGTAGTGGGAGTGTCCAGCTCTGAAGCCAGCCGGAACTCCGTTCCTCTGCGTTCCTGCCCAAAAGATAGCCCTGACTTCAATTATTATAAAAAGTGTCTTTTTGGTTCTGGAAGTATCTAACCTTGCAACCAAGATTAACATTTGCAGTGCAATATAAAGTATTCTGTTTGTACTTGTAGTGGAGGAGCTATAGCTCAGGGGCGGAGCATCTGCTTGGCACGCAGAAGGTCCCAGGTTCAGTCCTGGGGATCTCCAGTTAAAAGGATCAGGGAGTAGATGAGGTGAAACGACCAGTGCCCGAGACCCTGGAGAGCTGCTGCCAGTCAGAGTGGACAATACTGACCTTGATAGACCAACGGTCTGATTCCGTATAAGGCTACTTCATGCGTGGAGAGTTGCCCCGGAACTAGACTGCAGTGTTCTCTGAATCCTAATTATAACCAGGGCTATTTTGGGGCAGGAACGCACAGGAACGGAGTTCCGGCTGGCTCCCGAGTTGGCCACGCCCAGCAGGAACTCATTAGCATAATAGGCCACACCCAACAGCAGGAACTCATTAGGATTGGCTACATTAGGGGTGTGTGGCCTAACAGGCAAAGGAGTTCCTGCTACAAAAAAGCCCTGTTTTGGCAACAAACAAGGTAAACAGAATAAGAAGCAAAAGGTGGGTGTGGCTGGATGACCACACTTCTGGTAACATGGGGGTGCGGCCTAATATGCTAATGAGCTGCACTGTCAGGTGTGGCCTGATATGCTAATGAGTTTCTGCTGTTGGGTGTGGCCTATTATGCTAATGAGTTCCTGCTGGGCTTTTTCTACAAAAAGAGCCCTGAATAATGTTTTGCCAGATCTGAACAGCCAAAAAAAAAGGG